AATTTTTACACTACAGGCTCCTTTCTTTGCCTAACAAAATAACAGAAAGTCCACATCTTAACAAATAAATTTTTTATTGGGGACATGCCGGGTTTTTGGCAATGTTAGACCGTTATGTGCCCAAAATGGTCTCACATGTCAAATCCGACTCCATTTTTGGATTCCACACGCCTAATTTCGGAAATTTTCGTATTCCCGGTAGTGCACTCAAACATTGGCCAAAAATTAGTCCTTGAGCTCTTTCTCAGGGCCCAACAAATTAAAAAAACGAACGTGAACGCTTTCCGAATGACCTAACTTCCTAATTTTGTGAGGTATCGCCCTGGTTATCGCCTTGGGGTTTTTTTTGCGTTCGACAAAGAAGGGATGAGAGCGTATAGCGTAATAACTATTGCACCATTTTCAAAAACCAGATAGGTAATACTTTTTCGTTTTTGGAGTTTTTCTTCCAATTTTGATCCACTTTCGTATCGGAAATTTGGTGACATTTTGAAAATTCAAATTCAGCACTCTCGAAAACATAAACGTGCTCATAAAAAGATCTCACACTTATTAATTGAAAGAATCTCATGCAGTTTTGCAAAATTCCGCAGCTGCCGGTTTCAAAATTACGAAGGAATCAAATTCGGGGGGGCCAACTTCACAACTGCCCCCCAAGTTTACAAATTTTACTTTTTTTCTTGTGATCGTTTGCGCATGTTTGCGCTCCCAATATCTTCGTTCGCACCCCCATCGTTTTTGAGTTATTCCAAATACAAAATTCTATACTGGCCCCCCCATTTTTCAAATTTTGACACTACAGGCTCCTTTCTTTGCCTAACAAAATAACAGAAAGTCCACATCTTAACAAATAAATTTTTTATTGGGGACATGCCGGGTTTTTGGCAATGTTATAGGCCGTTATGTGCCCAAAATGGTCTCGCATGTCAAATCCGACTCCATTTTTGGATTCCACACGCCCAATTTCGGAAATTTTCGTATTCCCGGTAGTGGACTCAAACATTGGCCAAAAATGAGTCCTTTTGGGCTCTTTCTCAGGGCCCAAAAAATTAAAAAAACGAACGTGCACGCTTTCCGAATGACCTAACTTCCTAATTTTGTGAGATATCGCCTTGGGGTTTTTTTTGCGTTCGACAAAGAAGGGATGAGAGCGTATAGCGTAATAACTATTGCACCATTTTCAAAAACCAGATAATTCTTTTTCGTTTTTGGAGTTTTTCTTCCAATTTTGACCCACTTTCGTATCGGAAATTTGGTGACATTTTGAAAATTCAAATTCAGCACTTTCGAAAACATAAAAATGCTCATAAAAAGATCTCACACTTTTATTAATTGAAAAAATTTCGTGCAGTTTTGCAAAATTCCGCAACTAAACGCCCTGCAATCTGTAGAAATCCTTCCTTTTCACAATGTCACAAATTTTCACTTAGTGACTAGTTGACTATATCCGAAGAATGTGAATGAAACATTGCATGAGAGTGGCCATGAAGGAGTGTTTGCTTTCAGTGGCATGATTTTGAATATTTGTCCTCGCTTGCATACTATTTTTTTTCAGAAAAATGCTTTCCTTTTAGTAGGTACCATCACTGATTAGCATTATTTAAATACTCTTGCTGGTAGTATCTAGTATATGATAAGCGTCTGAAGCTATACCATCCATACTTTGTATGGTTTTGATTTATAGTACAATTTATAGGATTTTGCTTGCACGGAAGTCAAGAAATGTTTTGTAACTATGTTAATTGTTTATTCAGATACAGCTGCATTATTATATACTTACTGTCTTTCAAATACGCTCATTCAATCTGCTTATTTCTTACGCAGCGATCAGAAAACTTCTTATCTACGACTCGAGAAAAACATGAGATAAACTTAAAATACTACGCAAATAATTCCTAACTGAATAAATCTAGTCTTTGAACACGTAATTTAATTAGAATTACCAAAACAAAAGACACAAAGAATTATTTAAACAAAATCAAACATCGGCAGCGGCATTCAGGTACATTTAAAAATGAACTTGAACTGAGTAATAAAACTTTCTGTACGTAATGAAATGATTGTTACAGAACATTCCTTGAAAAACTCTCATTGCATATTACGCTACTTGGCCTTTAGATATAGTTTTGCTTCTTGTAGGCGTTATTGACAGAAAATTTTATACCGCGAGACACTGTCGTGCAAGAAAACGGCAAGGTGCTACCGGAATTCGACGAGTCTAGGATGCACTTCTCGATGGACGAAAGGTACGCGGAGAAGACGCGAACGAGACCGCTTAAATTTAAGAAGAAACTCTACGAATTTTTCACGGCGCCCATAACGAAGTTTTGGTCTAATTCTGTAAGTGAATAATGTCTTGTTGTCCGTTGCGAACTTTCACAAACTTGCAGATCGCCTACCTGATGTTCCTCATGTTGTTTAGTTACGTCGTGCTGGTGAAGATGGGGCCGACGCCGACGTGGCAAGAGCATTTGGCCATTTCGTTTATAACGGCGATGGGTTGCGAGAAGGTGAGAGAGATACTTTCGACTGAACCCGCCGCTCTCAGTCATAAGCTGGCCGTTTGGAGTTTGAACATGTGGAATCCTTGTGATGCTATCGCTATAATATTTTTCTTAGTCGGTGTGTCGTTAAGATTACAAAATGAAACTAGTGAAATTGGTCGAGTGATGTACTGTGTCGATAGTATTTACTGGTATTTGCGTATTCTGAATATTTTAGGCGTTAATAAGTATTTGGGTAAGTTACGACTAAGGTTGAGTTGTGCAAATCTAAGTTGCCTTTAGGCCCACTGGTAACCATGATGGGGAAAATGGTTAAAAACATGATCTACTTCGTAGTACTTTTGCTGGTTGTACTTATGAGTTTTGGCGTGTGTCGACAAGCTATTCTTTATCCGGATAAAGAGGCCAGTTGGAGACTCGCACGAAATGTAAGTTGCAATTAAGCTGCTTCCTAGCGCTAATTTCTGCCCCAGGTATTTTATGAGCCATACTTCATGTTGTACGGAGAGGTTTTCGCCGATGGAATAGACCCTCCCTGTGAAGAAGGACCGGACGATCCGAAATGCGTAACCGGGCGTTGGATTACTCCCGCGGTAATGTCGGTGTACTTACTAGTCGCAAACATTTTGCTCATTAATTTACTTATCGCCGTATTTAATAATATCTTTATGGAAGTAAACGCGGTCGCGCATCAAGTGTGGATGTTTCAGAGGTTTACCGTGGTTATGGAATACGAACAGAAACCGATCCTACCTCCCCCGCTCATTTTTATATGTCACTTGTTCCTACTGTTTAAGTATCTCAAACGTAAACTGAAGGGCATTCGAGAGACGTATGATAACGGCCTAAAATTGTTCTTGGAGAAAGAAGATATGGAGCGACTCTATGACTTCGAAGAGGAATGCGTCGAGGGATATTTTGCTGAGCAGGAGTACAAGCTGCATCAGTCAACTGATGAACGAATAAAATTGACTACGGAGAAAGTTGAAAATATTGTTCAGGTAAGTCCTGTTACGAGGCATTACTTTCTTGTGGAGTAAGTGATTTTGTTAAAAAACGCACGACGTTGTTTTATTTCGCGAAATTATTATTATATCGTCCAAGTACACCATTTACATGTGGCTATAACCTTCTCAACTAGCATTTGAAATATCGCAAGCGCGTTCGTCAACCCAAAGGGCATCCTTTTATAGAACAGTCCTCTTCCAAGTATTGTTAAGACAGTCCGTTCTCAAGCACTATCTTTTGTTGGCACTTGCCAATATGCAGAATTGATGTCCATGGAGCTACAAAAGTGTGCACTTTTTTAAGTTATCTAGCGTTCCAGATATATAAGGGATCCGATAGGCATCAGCCGAAAAGGTTATTAAAAATTTCCCATTTTTGAATCGCCCTCGTCGGAAAAACCCCCAAAATTCGACTGCCCGCTCTCTCTGTGCGCTATGCGTGAATTTTTTTCATGTACTCGAAGTTTAAAATAAAAGTATCGCCGTCGAGCGGGGAATCTCACGTAAAAAATTGATACAGTTTCCCTATCCCATTCTCCTGTTATGGTGCCCTCACTTTACCTCTAAATCGCGCATGAGGACAAGGGGTACGCTCTCTGTACCTACCCAGCGCGTCCAAGGCATCGTCCCATTTAACTCTCGAAGACATTTGTACCATTGAATAATAAATCGGGTCCGTGAAGTTAGCAGAACATTGAAGGCACAAATGTCGAGACTAGGTGGGTTGGTTAGTGCTTCGTTTGTGCCGGTTTATGCCGTAAAAAGTATGCCAGCAAAACATACGGTTTGGAAATTATTTCGATTTTTAGAGGTTCTGCTAATAGGCCAGTCATTGAGGATTTTTACCTGGAAGTAACTCGCGAAGTACAGAAATTTTGTATGCTTGAGTGCGTACAACTAAAATTCATAAAATGCACAATTCTAAACTTGCCGCCGAGGCCGCCATCTTCCCAAGATGGCCGTCAAAAGCGGTTTTCCGCCGATATCTCCAAAACTGCACATTTTACGAGAAAATATGTGGTGAGCAGAATTAAAGAAACGAAAATTTCCTACAAAAAATGTAGTTAGCATATTTTCACTAAAGTTGGCCCTTACGCAGAAATTCAGAAATTTTTAATAACCAGTTGCGTATATTTTATCCAAATAATTCATTAATCATTTAATTAATTATTCAAATTGATTAATCAATTAGTCTATGATCAATTAATTTTAAGATTTTATTTTAGTCGTCGCAATCTTCTATAGTGATAGACATGTCAATTTTTAAATTTTATTAGTTAAATCAATCAGTTATATTGTTATATTCAATTCCTTTTAGCCAGCATTATGGACTTTATTTGTTTCGTGGTATGTGATTAATTATGTTAATTTTACGTTAAGAGCGCCATACCTATAGCACGTGACCTTGCACGTGACTAATTGATACGCAGCTCTAACCACACCGTCACGCTCCTACGCAAGAAAACCATGCATCAATGTTTTTCTTTCTATCCCTAATGACGACCACTTAGCACTTACTTTTGGTTACCTTCGTTAGGCGGCGCCACCTCACAGTCGCTTGAAAGGAAAATTTCTTTTTTCCATTAATAATAAAATACTGCCTTGAAGTTATTGTTTTATGGACTAAAATCTCTAAAATAAATTACTATAGCATGGAATGGTCAGAATAAACGCTTTCCATGATAGACTATGAATTAGAAATGACAGTAAAAAAATTTCAGATAATGATCCACCGTCAAAAAAATCTTACGGTTTGGATTCCAGTTTAAAGCTTTTAAATGAGTATTTAAAGTTGTTCTTTAATCAATTTCAATATCAAAAAATCAAAACTTAACTTTTCCGCACGGTAGCATCTGTTGAGACCCAGCACTTTCCTTTCATTGGATTTAACTTAATACATCGCTTCGCCTTTTATTGAGCGAAGTATTTAATCGATTTGGCAATTAACTACATGGATGTTCAATTTGATTTACCGTTAAAATTTCACAAAAATTGGTCAACAAATAAGAAATTTACTTTTGCACATGCGCGAAAGAAGCTTTTGATATGTTTGAAATAATCGATCGAGTTGCCTTTAGTAAAGAATGCTAATGTTAAAATTTCAGTAAGATCGGTCCATAAGTAACAAAGTTACTTTTGCGCATGCGCAGAAGATTACGGCCTACCAGTTTGGAAATTAATGGGTGCCTTCTCCACGCGGTAAGGACTGAAAAAATGTACGCAATTTGTCCCATTCAATTTTGAGTTATCGTGCTAAAAACAATCCGGACAACGACAACAGACTTTTTTATGTGATGAAAACAATACTTTACTTACCCATATATGGGTGCGGAAAAGTAATATCATAGTATAATACAAATAGTAAGCCAACCGGTTCGCGCCAATTCTTGATGATTGTAAAAAGATGTACCGGTACATGCTGCCACCTAGTTGAGAGTAGCTCAATACGCCCATCTTAGAAACTACATTCATTATTTGTCACGAAACGATCGGCATCAGTTATCGAAGCGGGAAAATACAAAACATGATCGGTAATCGAGTTTAAATATTCTTCCCATATCGTATTCCTATTTCATATCGTCATAATTAAGCACTATACTTGCAAGCAGAGCTGGAATGATTACTCCAAAAAGTATTCGAATACTGATTACAAATTACTTTATCATAAAAGTATTTACGTAGGTATTTGATTAGGTACCTACTTTACAAAATTTGTATTTTAATTACTGATTACAATTTGTAATCGATTTACTTTAGCATCGTAATTACATTAACTACATTTTTAAACTTGCATCTTGCATGCGCACGTATCCATACTTTATTTATCGTTATCGAGTTCGTTGATTCTTTGTTATTACTTATTAACGATCCTCGTGACCGTTCATAATTTTGTATTGCTGTCTGTCTGTCCGTTTGTCGCCCGTATGCACGATAACTTTGTGTAGAAACGTCCGATCATTTTGAAAATGGGTACACATATCCTTAAGGATATAAGAAATGTCGCCATTGTTTTTCAGCTGAGTAAACTAACGCACCAAAAAGTTACAGCCCAAAAACTGCCCACACCTGAAAAGTATAATTTTTGTTGTTTGTACATTGAATGTCCGGTTTTCTGTGTTAGCAAATATTCCTTAAACCTCAAGAAACTACGCAGATACATAAAAAATTTGCCCCAACTTTTGTATCTGCGCAATCCAATTTTTTTGTTTGTTAAGATGGGAAAATGAAATTTTGTATGTAGGCACCTCGAATAGAAATAAAACTAATGCCGAATCAAGAAAATTGTTTTACAAGCTATGCTGATCTGGTGGGATCACCGAGTCAACCCCTTAAGATGTACTATGAAAACGATGGATGGGATCTCGAAGATCGTTCGGTATTCTGTTCTCTTGTATCAGATTTTTAGAAAGATATTTCAATAAATCCAGATATTCCATAAGCAAAAATATTAAAGAGAGTATAACCCGTGCACTTGGAAACCTCTATACTTTGAAGGTGTGCTAGACGACCTTCATAACTTTCCTCCGCATGAATTATTTTTCCCAGATGCTGTTTGCAGAGCCGTCTTTAAGCAATTGGGGGCCCTGGGCGCAAAAATGTATGGGGCGCCCCTTTGTTTGGAAGATACGGAATTCAGAAAAACGATCTCGTTAAAATCAATAAATATGGATATCGACAAAAAAGTATAACATTCCTCTCGCTCTTTGTATAATCCGATTATATTTTTAGCGCATTTTCCAAGGAAGGTGGGTGCGCTATTGCCAGCCACTTTCTCTGTCCGTCCTAGGTCTCTATTCCCACAGTTTTCAAGATATTTATTTCGTTTTTTTTGCATTCGGTAGCTTATAGCTTTGTCACCTCAACCAAGAAAAATCTTGACGAGTAATGTGCGCATACGCTGACTCTGCAATATCAACTTTCTTATTTATTAATATATTTTGTTGAAATTTTAACCACAGACACTTGTAGTAAATGCAAACATATCGCATATAGTAAAAATCAGATGTGCTAATACGCGGACTGAGCAATGAACTTAATACTTAACTTATTCATGGAGATATGTCTTTGAAATTTTAACCAAATATGCTTTTAGTGAAAGCAAACGTATCGCATATTGTAAACATCAGATTAATGTGCGCATGTGTAATATCAACTGTCTTATTTGTCAAAATATTTTTTTGAAATTTTTATCACAGGTGCTTCTGTTTAAAGCAAACATATCTCATATTGTAAACATTAGATGTGCGCATGCGCCGTTTATACGCACTCTGCGCAGTGTCAACTTTCTTATTGATGAAGATATGTCTTTGAAATATTAACCACAAATACCTCTAGTAAAGACAAACATAGCGCACATGGCTATGGCTTTTGGAAAGTACTGATCAATGCCTGGAAAATGCGTTGAAGTTAATCGCCCTACTTTTTTATTTGTTATATTAATGGACAGTAACTTAAGCACACTTGCGTCTATGTAATGTCTCACAAAATGAAACATCGTTTATGGGGCTGTACGGTGTACCTTGGAATAAATTGTAAGAACTAGTTTGTTGTTTCTAAAGGAAGTTAATTACACTTTGAATTTACAAATATGGACAAAGAAAACCTACTATTACTAATTTATTTTAGTTACATTTGCAATTTGTAATTAAGGATATATCTAAGTAGGGTTGCCACATGGCCGGGATTTTCCGGGATTGTCCCGAAATTAGCTGCACTATCCCGGATCCCGGTTTTTCATACCTATATAAATTCCGGAAAAAATATGGCAACGTCTTGAATAAAAATTCAAAATTTGGTTGGGGAAGGAGGGGCTGGTCCTTCATGGTACATGGCAGAAGTCTACTGCTGAGGTCAAAACGTTAAGAACGAATATTTGGCAAATAATTTAAAATTTATTGACCATAGCTGTTAGTTTCGTGAAGTAATTAGTTCTCAAAGAGACATGCAATTTTCACGGCTGCGTTTTAGGAGAAAAAATAGTTCGTTAGTGCCCGTTTGAGCACAATTAAGTTGTTGGACCAAAACCACGAGGACCAAAATGAGCGCCGGGACCGAATCGGTCTGACTCGAAACAGCTTCATGTCCATTTGGTTGATTGGGTTAAAAAAAAATTGTCATTGGTAGGTATTCCTTTTTCAGCAACACTCATCTTACGAATTAACCGCACATCTCTATAATCATAATATGTATGTACATATTATACTGTGGTATAATTATTCGTCATAGATCATAGATAAAACCACCTTTTATTTATGATTACCCGTTGAATGTATTAATCGCAACCCAATATAATTTTATGATGAAGAAAAGGAAATAAACTAAATCAATATAGACGAGCGACAAGGTCGCTTCCGATTAACCAGTATTGACAAAAAATTAATCACTTAGTCGCTTGACTACTGTCTACCTATTACTGAAAACAGAACTGGAAAATTCGTAATCGTTCGGGAGTTATCATGTAGGGACACAGACGGACTGACAGACGGACAGAAATCATGAATTCGCTTAGGAGCTCTTAATAATGAAGAACTCCCTATATATTTTATTGCCATAATGACCTTTAATGGAACGTAAACGTGCTATACAGTATATTAAAATGAGTAGAAATGAAGAATTAAATGGAATTGATATTCTAATCTATAAAAATAAATGTTAAATGATAACTGTAGCATGCACCTGGCGTGGTGTTACAGTAAGCCAGTGTAATATAGATATTACCCTGTTGAAGTTAAACACATTTCATATGGCTAACTGTACTGGGTTCAGCAACATCTACTGAAAGGAAGATTCAATTACAATTATTGGTAGCACCGAATGTTGTATTATGGGCGCACACCACTTTACAAATATTCCGACTCGTGAGACATCTAGCAATCACAAATATGAACTAACCAAAATTCAAACGCGTTGTTTTACTATTGTGTTATATTATGGTAATATCATAGATGATATATGCGATTTATATACACTTTATATACTACTTTAAACCACAGTAGGCGATGTGAAACAAAAGCTGATCTAGAAACTAAACTGTGTTGACATTGTAGCTGGAAACATTTTAACAGACAAAGAGTCTGGCACAAGAAAGTAAATAAAAAAATTATAGAAACTTGAGAACGAAATAAAAGATTATTTTTCATAGCCTACTGTGACTAAAAGTAATAAAGTTTAAAAAAATCGCATAGAAAACCAATATCATTCATGGTGTGTTATATTTTTATCAGGCCGTGTGGCGCAATTCAGTTTAGGCTGGAGTGCGGTACTATGGGTCACTGGTTAGAATCGGCGTTCGGGCATAGATATTTGTAAATGTATAGTGGGTTGGGTTGGTAGAGCGACCTTGGATGAAACCCCGCCCACTCAAAAATAAAATATTTAATATGCTACCTTTTTAGATTAAAATATACAAGGTGTTCCACGAAACCCACGAGATTAGGTCCGATATGATTTACCCGACTCCGTACACTTATCTTGTATATACAACGGCAGAACTTAGGGATTCTTATCTATTTCATGTAGTGCAATCGGATTTAGCAGATTTGGACTTATATAACAGTTATCCCCTGAGTTCTTTACCATTTGGAGACCCAATCTCACGAATGACTAATACACCACAGACAGATGCTAATTGTAACTTCAATTATTTTACATTTGGTACAACACGCCGCGAAAGGCTGTCATTGAAAAAACGAAGCTAACACACACGTTCTTCTCCAACACAAGGATGATCTTATATAAACAAACCATCTGCAAATGTATGGCATACAATTGTCAACAAATTAGACAATAAAGTGTCATCAAAAGCACACTACACTTGTGTGAAAACTATAATACTTATTAAAAACGTGCTGGGAGTTTTCACACATTCCCTTTTTTGGTCAAACTTTTTACTATACATTCTGGCACAAAGATAACATTAACCCATGCGCGACATGAACATTATACTTAGTTTCAAGAGTATAGCGACAAAAGTGTACAAGGTTTCCAGAACATCTAAAAATTGAGATAACCTTCAAAGGCAATGCTTTGCTGGCAAACTTTTTACCCCACAAACCGGCACAAACGTAGCACTAACCAATCAATCTAGTCTCGAAATTTATGCCGACAAAAGTGTGCGAAGTTATAGCAAACATCTACAGACATCTAAAAATCGAAATAACTTCTTCCAGGAAAATATTTTCCTGGCGATACAGCACAAATCGGCACAAACGTAATTTGTGGAATATGTATCGATATTCCTTTATCGACTGAAGAAGGAGAATCCGACGAATTCAAAGAAGCCAACGTTGATCCCGAAATAGGGATAAACGTATTCGGCAATGAAAACAGGACATTAACGAACCGCCAGGTCCGTCAGGCCTGCGTAAATAGAGAATCTAATGTTACTTAAAATTAATTGATCATAGACTAATGATTAATCAATTTGATTAATTAATTAAATGATTAATGATTTATTTTGATAAAATACACGCCATTGGTTATTAAAAATTTCTGCTTTTCTGCGCAAGGGCTAACTTTAGTGGAAATATGCTAACTACATTTTTTGTAGGAAATTTTTGTCTCTTTAATTTTGCTCACCACATATTTTCTCGTAAAATGCACAGTTTTGGAGATATCGGCGGAAAACCGCTTTTGACGGCCATCTTGGTAAGATGGCGGCCCCGGCGGCAAGTTTAGAATTGTGCATTTTATGAATTTTAGTTGTACGCACTCAAGCATACAAAATGTCTGTACTTCCCGAGTTATTTCCACCTAAAAATCCTCAATGACTGGCCTATTAGCAGAACCTCTAAAAATCGAAATAATTTCCAAACCGTATGTTTTGCTGGCAAACTTTTTACGGCACAAACCGGCACAAACGAAGCACTAACCAACCCACCTAGTCTCGACATTTGTGCCTTCAATGTTCTGCTAACTTCACGGACCCTAATAAATCTACTCAATGTTTGTACTCAACAAATTCTCACTTTCAACTTCAACAAAAAAAATATTGTTTTTTTAACTTAAACTTCTTCAATCTTCTTAAATTCTGAACTATAACTGAAGATGTGACTTTCTTACAGAAAGTGGAAGATATTAATACAAAAGAAAACAACCAAACCTCCTCGATGCAAAGTGTGGAGTTTCGCCTCCGAAAAGTCGAGGAGGCATCTCAAGATATTC